TGATCTTTCTTAGCTCGGAGGCTCCTTCCCCACCCCATGGGTCTAAGACAGTTCATCCCAGGGAGTTGCTGAAATGTGTCTCCAGGGTTGACGGCCATGGGACCGGCTCCTGAATTCATTCATTCAATGTTGAATTGTCTTGACAGATTCCAAGTATTAAGCCAGGCTCAAATTTCTAGGATGTGTGCATGTCCTTCTGACTCGCTGGATCTGTGGTGCTGAGACCTATTTTGGAGTGTTAGTGTTTTAATGTTCGAGTAGGACCCGACATCTCATTTCATAGCAGGCTTGTTCTCTGTGTGCCTTTGAACATACTGTAGAGGGGCCAAGAGCAGCCTTTATCTACCGTCTCCCTGTCTGTCTCCGTCTCAGGCTTTTCCAATCCTTCCTCTCACGCTGCTCTGGCTTGAAGCATTTTGCCCCATGAACCCTCCTGAGGGTGCCAAAGTGTGAGATGCTCTCTCCTGCTCAAATCTGAAGTAGCTATGGAGCTGGAGAGCCTGAGGGCCAAGCTCCAGAGGAGCCTACAGAGAGAGAGCTGTGACCCCCAAACTTCACTGAAAAGAGCATCATGACGGAATCCTGCCCTCCCTCCTTCTACAGAGGAAGTGGCTAAGTGGGGGCCAGGGTCAGGGGTTAATGACCATATTGTGCTCAGGGCTGTGGATAGCCCAGCTTGTCAGTGGCAGCATCTAAGCATTCATAGCCCCAGGGGAACCCCTCCCCTTTCCCATCCATCCTTCTTGGTGGGAGGAGTCCCTGCTGGCCCTTAATTGCCATCAGGTCACCATACACAGTGGGGACACCAGGCCATCTTCTCTGGTGAGGTCTGCTTTGCTGAGGCCCCAGATACAGCCCTCCATCTCCTCTGCCCCACAGATACCAGTTCCCCACCATCATGGGCTACCAGGATGTGGCAGGAACCAGTATCCAATGACCAGCACACTTGTACACACACACACACACACACACACACACACACACACACACACACACACCAGGCTGTCCCACACCAGCCATGTCCATCTTCTGGACAAGTAGGTCCTCAAAACTGATCTGGTAATGCCCAGCTCTTGGGGAAACTGAGGTATGACTTCCATTGTCAGGAACATGACCATGGTCCTGTGACTTCCTAATCCATATGCCAGGCTAGGACCAGTGGCAGGGAGGCAAAGGAGAAGTGGCCATGCTCATCACTCTCAAGGGGCTCACAGGCTCGGAGTGAGACACACACGTATACATGCTCACCCACACAGAAATGGAATAAAATGTAATTAAAAAATAATTAAACTCAGCTGAGCATAGTGGCATACAACTGTAATCCTAGCACTCAGGAGGCAGAGGCAGGAGGATTGCCAAAAGGTCAGGGCCAGTCTAGTCTATACAGAGTTCCAGTCTGGCTAGAGCTACAGAGTGGGACCCTGTCTAAAAAAAATAGTAAGTCAGTAAATAAATAACTCACTAAGTTCCACAATCCCAAGAATAATTAAGCTTCAATTTTTTCTGTTGTCTTTCCAGATTTTTTAATTAAAAAAATTGTTTATGTGCATGAGTGTTTATGCATATGCGTGTGGGTGTCCAAAGAGACCAGAGAAGGGTCAGATCCCCCAGAACTGGAGTAACAGGAGGCTGTGAGCTTCCCAACATACGTGCTGGAAATGAAACTCTGGTCCTCTGCAAGAGCAGCAAATTCTTAACCACTGAACCATCCTCCAGCCCTCTATTATATTCTGAGAAATGTTCCCATGTGTGCAAGCATGTGCACGCAATCTCCCCACCTTCCCCGGGGAACTCGTACATATATGCACACGGAGGCTGGAGGACAACTTTGGGGTGCCAGTCCAGGGTGCGATCCACCTTATTTTTGAGACAGGGACTCACTGGCCTGGAACCTGACAAGTTTTCTAGGCTGGCTGCCCATGGGCTGGGGATCCACCTGAGTTCACCTCTCTAGTGTTGAGAATTGCAAACACGTGATAGCACGCCTGACTTTCTCACGTGGGTTTGGGAATCGAACTAAGGTCCTCAGATTTGCATGGCAAGCACGTTACCCACTGAGTATCTCCCCCACCTGTCCCGTTTTCTCCTCGCCCATCCTATTTTCTTTCTACGCGTGTTTAAACGCAGTTGATTCACGCAGGGCACGCTGTTGGCTTTTACCTCGTTGCTCCCTGTTGAAGTTATCTGAATGCATGTATCTGCTGATGTCCCGTGGTTTCACATAAGCTGACACCATAGACACTTCCCCATATCACTAAAGTCCTGCATGAAGCCAGGCGGTGGTGGTGCCCACCTTTAATCCCAGCACTTGGGGAGGCAGAGGCAGTCGGATCTTAGTGAGTTCAAGGCCAGCCTGGTCTACAGAGCTAGTTCCAGGACAGCCAGGACTGTTACTGAGAAACCCTGTCTTGAAAAAAAAAAAAATCCTGCATGAATGCCATTTTTACCACCACACTGCATTTTGTTATGTGAACACGATCGGCCTCGGGTTCCCGTCCTGTGCTCCTGAATGGTAAGGTCCCAGCAGCTTTTGTTATTAAACACACTGCAACGGCATCTTCGGGCAGAGATCTGTACAGACACATTTCTTTAAGGGAGTGCTGTCAGGTGCAGCCTCCCCGGAACCAAGTCACCACAGAGACTGGGCTGGCACACGGTCCTTTGAGCAGCAGCCCTGCCATGCAGTGACGGCAGGTGTGTCCTGGTTGTCATAAGGTGACCCTGTGGCCCCTCGTGAAGGGAACCTGCCAAAATGGTGACAACCTAGATTAACTCGACGACTACCCGCCAGGTCCTGGGCCCTCCTGCTCCTGTGCACCTTGGCTGGTCGCCTGTCCTGCTGCTCCAGTCCTGGGACCTGGGCAGCAAGGATGACTGATGTCTATGACAGTCTGAGTGGTCTGGGAGGCGCATGGGGTTCCCTGGAGATGAAGTGTCGGGTTTGGATAGCAGGGGAAAACGACCCCCCTCCCCTGCAGACCAGCAGGGGGCCCTGTTCTCTCCCTCACAGGAATATAGTGTTGGGTAAGGTAGCCTCATGAGCAGGCAGAGGTCAGGGCTTTGAACTCTGCCAAGAGCAGACAAGTACAGGGCAAACATACTTGAAGTCCCGCTATGTGCTTTGGTAGGGTGCTGTGGCAGGTGACAGCTTTGCAGCCCTTTGGGGGAAGGGTGGGAGGGTTCACAGAGAGACGGGGCTGGAGACCACCCAATCCCTCTGGAGCTGCCTAGCCCTTGTTCCCCTTGATACACACTGTGGGGTGATGACAGCCACCCAGGACCAGGCGAGGCACCTCTGCAAGACCGTCCGGAATGGCACAGGGGTAGACAGGCTCATTGCTCCCAGGCCAGGAATGTGGCCAGCACCAAGAAGGAAAAAGGCAGCTCGGCAGCTCCTGAAGATGTCAGCTCTCAGGGCACCCAAGCTCTGTGCACCCTCCTGCCCTCTCTAGACCCTAGATGCCAGCTCTCAGAGTACCCCAAGCTCTGTGCACCCTCTTGCCCTCTCTAGACCCTAGATGCCAGCTCTCAGAGTACCCCAAGCTCTGTGCACCCTCTTGCCCTCTCTAGACCCTAGATGCCAGCTCTCAGAGTACCCCAGGCTCCGTGTACCCTCCTGCCCTCTCTAGACCTGGAGATGCCAGCTCTTAGGGCACCCCAAGCTCTATGCATCCAGCCTCCACCTGCAGAGTGGAAATGCCACTGAACAGAGTCTTCAGCCTCCCCTCTCCCACCAACAAATAGCTCCTGCCTCCAGACCCTCCCTCCGGATGTGGAATCTCCTTCCCTTCCAAGCCATTCCATGTCAGCCTCCCCTCCCTTCCCCTGCACCGTCAGTATCTCTCCTTCCTCATCTCTCCTTTTTCTCACCCTGTAGAGAACAATGCTTCTAGACTCTATATCCCCCTCCCATGCCCAAGGGAGCTGGTGCTGCCCCAGGTACCATCAGCAAGTGCTCTTTCCCAGTACCCCCCACCTCTGCTCTGGGGAAGGTCCAGTGCCCAGGCCCTTCTCTCTGAAGCCCTCTCCTGTCTTTCCAGACCACACTGCTGGTCACCTGGCCGCTATGATCCCCTGTGGGAGTAGCAGAAGCCATCCTCCTCCTCCTCCTCCTCCTCCTCCTCCTCCTCCTCCTCCTCCTCCTCCTCCTCCTCTCTCCATGCCCAGGGGATCTGCAGCCTTTCCACACATCTCCCTGGCCTCGCTCTAGGATGGGGGGCCTTCACCTTGCCCCACTATTTTCCCAGTCCCAAGCTGTGAGGCCCCCCAGACCTCATAGCATCTCCTCACATACATGCTCACAGTACCCACACCTTTCTGCCTTGCTATGAAATGGGTCTATCTACAAAAACAGAGGGGGTGGGCTGCTCTTGACACCTCCCCTGTCTTGTGTCTGTCCCCCACCATCTGGTCCGCTGGTCTGCACTGTGTCTTCAAGTCTTACCCATCCCTATCCTCACGTGGTATGAGCCGGCATCCAGTGAATTTCCACTCACCACTCAGAGGTGGAGGGACCTTGGGCAAGTCAGAGTTCCCACGTGAGCCTCATTTTCCTGGACGAGGTGACAGAGAAAGCAGCCCTTCCTTCTTCATGGCTTATTCGGGGGGCCATGTGAAGACCTTATGCCTTGAAGACTGCTGTCATGATCTCTGTTGCTTAGATAACTGAGTGCCTCCGCATTCCCCCAAAGAACACCCCACAGCAGAGTGCTGGCCTTACACAGGACATGGAAGTCAGCCTGCCACGTTTCTCCAACCACTGCCACATGCCCACAAGGCAGGCACCTGTCACCCCATTTTACCCCTGACGAGACTGAGGCCTCAGCCACAGCTAGAGAGAACCATTGCCTCAATGGCTGCTGCTGGCACTACCCACTGATTCAAAACCTTTCCCACAAGCTGGGCACTGTGCTAGGTGCTGGCTGGCACAGACCTAGCCAACGGGGCAGAGATCTTTCTAGAACACAAAATAAATCTGACTCTATAAACTCAGTGAGTAGTTGGGGCTGGTGACACACACCTTTAATCCCAGTACTTCGGCAGAGGCAGGCAGGTCTCTGTGAGTCGGAGGCCAGCCCGGTCTATACAGAGTTCCAGGGCAGCCAGGGCTCCACAGACAGACTCTGTCTCATAAACAAATCAATAAATATAAATAAAACCCAGATCATTAAGCTTTCCTCTGCCCTCAGGATCCATGTGTCTTTCTCAGCAGCTACCCCCAGTCCTCTGGGCTCGCACGGCAGCTCGCCTCTGCCCATCCTTATTTTCCCTGCCACACCCCACTACAGCACACGTGGGCTATGGGGCTCTTCCCTCCCACACACCACTCACCATCTCCTTCCCTGCCTCTCCCCAGCAGCAGCTCCTCCTCCGTGTTCTTTACCTCAGCCTTCGTTTGGACCTAATCATCTCTGTCACCTCCTCCAGGAAGCCTTTCTCCCTCAGCTTCCAGAGAGAAGTAGGAACACCCTCAGTGTGTCCAGGCACCCTGACCTGCAGCTTCTGAAACTCCTCGCTTCTCTTTGAGGGCCACAGGGCAAGTGGTTCAACTCAGAGTCTCTCCCCAACCCACCCCCCAACACACACACACACCCCAATCCACAAGTCCTCAAGTTCCTATCTGCCTCTGCCTCCCCAGGAGGCAGGCCCAGCAGAGCAGACAAGAGACAGAGGAGAGCACACACTCCCAGCCTGTGAACGTGCTAACGTGCTCTCTCCACATGGGTGGGTGAGATGGAGCAGTCACAGAGTGTTCTGGTGGCTGAGCCCTGCCTCCTCAGAGCGATGGCCTCCGTGATTCTAGACATGGCCAAGGTGGCTATAATCCACCTAAATGTTTCTGTCCATCTCCTTCCCGGTTCTGGGCCCTTTTGGGGGTGGGCAGGCAGTGTGGCCCTAGAAGACAGAACAAGTGAACTGGAGTCAGTGGGGGCGAGAGCCAAGACCCGACTGAGTCGCTTCCCTGTGACTCAGTTCCCTCGTTTAAAAAGTGATATCATCAGCCCTTTGCTGCCTATGGGCAGCAGGGTGGCTGAGGGAGGGGACGGCGGCAAGAACTTTCAGAGGAGCAGCCGCTCCATTGTCTGCCTGGCTTCCTGACATCCCCACCTCGGACACATTCTGTCGTATTTTGCAAAGTTCCCGGGGAAATTTGGTTTGGGCCCTCCTTAGAGGCCGGCCCTGGAGTACGGGCTGCTCTCTCTAGAGGAGGTCTTGGGGGCCCGCCGCCCTGTGCCCTGGCCCCCACCGCAGCCCCTGCACCCCGAGGCCTGGACGCCGGCACCCACCCTCTGAGCCCGGCTCTCCCCGTCCCAGGGCCAGCTGTGCGGATGCAGTGAGATGGCCGCCTGAGAGGCTGGAAGCCTGGGAGAGGCGCGGACAGGGGGCCGCAGGGCCCCCCACCTCGCGCCCCGAGGCTCGCCCCGAGGAGCCGCGGGGAGCCTGGAAGGGCCGCTTTCAAAATGGCCGCCGCCGTGGCCGCCATGGCCGCCCAGGGCCCTTCTCCTCCGGGGCGAGGGAGGGCACGGCGGCCAGGCCACGGTCAGGCCTGGCCGCCCAGGGGTGCCGCAGAGCAGGGCAGGAGGCGTGGGGAAGAGGGAGCCGGGGCGGGTGGGGGGCAGAGAGAGGGGCCGGGAGAGGAACAAAAGGTCCCTTTGTGACTCGGCCCGGAGACGAGGGAGCGCATTACCCAATGCCCAGAAGCCATGTTGGTAACAAGAGAGCCATTCTCTGCCTCGCTCGCTCGCTCGGAAAACAACTCGGAGCCCAGAGGGACGGGGAGAGAGTTAACCCCATGGGCGCGGGGGGCCCCCCGGGCCGCCGCCGTGGGAGGTGGGGAGCGGCGGCAGAAGAGCCGGGGGGGGGGGGCCCCCGCGGGTCCCCAGCGAGCCCGGGTTCGGTGGCGTCCAGGCCCAGCTCCCAACATGGCTGCTGGGCCCGAGCCCAGCCGCCTCCGGCCTGGGGACGACGACGAGCCGGGGACGAGCCACAGACGGGCTTCTGCCTGCCTAGGCCCGGCCGGAGGAGCCTCGAGGGCCTTCCAGTCCGCGGGCCTCACCTGCCCCCAACCTCCGGGGAACCCCCCCCCCATGCCTTCCATCTTCTGGGTTCAGGTCCCATGGCGGGGCCACCCAGTTCCAGGGCTGTTGGGCTTCCCGGCTGCTTCCTGCCGCGGGGACACTTCTCTCTCCTTGACAACCATCTTTGCGCCTTTTTTCTTTTTTTTTTGTCTTATAGAAAGTTCTTCAGATCTAATTGGATTTCTTTATTCCCAGCCCCAGCTTGTTCCTCCTACCCCACCTTCTACGGACTAGTCTTGGTGTCCAGGCTTCTAGAAGCCACATCTGATAACAGGGCCAGGGACACTAAAAGGGCCTTTTCCTCTCTCTCCTCTCCTCCCTTTTCTCTTTGCCTTCTTCCTCCATTCCTGTTCTCTCCTCCCTCCCTCCCTCCCTCCCTCCCTCCCTCCTTCCTTTCTTCTTCAAACGTTGAGGGAACACTGCTGTGTCCTCAGCCCTGTTCCAGCCCTCCGGCCATAGCCACGGACAAATGGACTGCCTTTGCCCTTGCCAGTCTAATGTTCCTGTGAAGGAGATGGGCAATAAACACACCTATGGGCTAATATCAGCGTATCTTAAGCTCTGTGGTGGAAAATAAAGCAGGGTAGAGGGCGAACCGGGAGGGAGGGTCACGTGAGAAACAGTCACTTCTGGATGTGATAATATGCACCTATGATCCCAGGACTCCAAAGCTGAGGCAGGGGAATCTCAAGTTCTAGACCAGCCTGGGCTACAGAAGAAGTGCCAGACCCTGTCAAGAAAAAGGTGGAGGAGAGGAAGGAGGGTGAGGAGGAGGAAGAAGGGAAGAGGAAGAGAGGGAGCAGACACCACTAAAAGAGTATGACATTGAACTGAGATTCTGAATGAGAGAGGGAAGAATATTTAGAACAGGAATGTTCTAGACAGAGAGATCAACACATGCCAGGGCCCCAAGAGGGAATGTGTTGCTGAGCTTAGGAGCAGGCAGGAAGCCAACGGGGCAGGAGCAGCCAGAGCCAAGGAGATGAGGCAGCGGAGGTCGGACACTGAGGGGCGGGAGCCCAGCTGTGAAGGCTGAAGGAAGGGAAGATGTCAGGGGTCCACCAAGGCTTGGAGAAGGGGTGGTGTGGTCGGGGCTGTCCATGGGTAAGGCTTCCCAGGGGGTCTCAAGCATAGAAGCTGGAGGCCTCAAAGGACTAGGCTACACCTTTGGAGATGACTCCCAGGGGCCCGTCCTTAGGTGGCTGTCCTGCTATCGTCCAATTCCTGCAGTTAATGTTTATGTAATACCTACTAAGTGTCAAGAGTGGGAATTGTTCCTATTAGGTGTGTAAGGTGAGCTCGCTGGTGGTGGGTGGGTGACAGGCCCCTGAACAGCACCTCTAGAGGGCCATCCTCATCTACAATGCTTTGGCTACATAGCATGAAGCCTCTCCCTTGGGCTGTTTCTAAGGACACCCATCTCCCAAGTCCCAGCTGGCTATGGCACCTTGCTACAAATGGCCCACAAAAGCAGAGCTTGAGTGCTGGGCCTCCAATCAATCTCAGGCTGGTCGCTGGCCTCCTGAAGCTTCACTTTCCTGTGTATACAGTCTCAGCCACTCAGTAGATTTGTGGGCACATTAAAAAAGAGAATCCAGCCAGGCATTGTGACACATGCCTTTGATCCCAGCACTTGGGGGACAGAGGCAGGAAGATCGAGGCCACCCTGGTCTACATAGTAAGTCCCAGGACAGTCAGAACCCTGTCTCAGAGAGGGGTGGCAGGGGATGGGAGGGGGAGAGAATATGAATTCATTCCTCAGAGGGCAGAGAGAGGTCACTGAGTTGAGGTCAGCATCACTCAGCGAGTCTACTGTCTGGGCTCGCTGAGACACAGCTGTGGGGGGATCAGGCCAGGCCTGGGCATTAGCAGCAAGCTGCAAGGCCCCTGCCATGAGTCAGGGGGACTGAAGCTGCAGAGAGGTGACATGTTATGGGCCCTTGGGCAGCCCCAGGTCCTGGCACCCTTATCTGTCTGTAGCAGCCACTTCAAGCCCTTAGGATAGCGTCAAGAGAAGAGCCCATGCGGGGAAGGCTGCGGGTGGAAACAGAAGGGGTCCAGGCATGCGCACAATTCACAACAATCCAGCAGGTGGACTACTGCCGCAGGCTGTGCATTGAGAGACAGAGGCAGAAGAGTGGCGGACAGAAGGACTTGGGGGACGGGTGGGCAGCAGGGATCAGGGAGGGAGGGGAGGACTCACAGCGGCAGAGGGAGGACCACGCAGTAAGAAGACTCTTGTCTACATTCTAATGTAAACCCTTTCACTGAAACACGCCCTGAAGCAAGCCCTGACCTCGCCAGGTCTTTTATTTTCTCATCCGTAGAATGAAGGAGACCATACTAGTGCCTTTCTTATTGATTGTCCAGTAAAATAACAAACTCCAGGGATGAGGATGGCCCCTCAGTGAATCCCTGGCCTGGCATGTAGGAGGCATTACAAAATATTAACTTCAATTTAGTTACACAGCCTGATGCTGGGAGTTCCTACTAAAAACAAATGACCCAGCCAGGTGTGGTGGAGCACACCTTGGATGCTAGCACTCTGGAGGTGGAGGCAGGTAGAGCTCTGTGAGTTTGAGGCCAGCCTGGTCTACACAAGAATTTCAGGCCAGTCAGGGGCACATAGTAAGACACTGTCTCAGTAAGTAAATAAAAAGTAAACAGTTCAGTGTGGTTTTAATTTTGTTAACGCTCCCATTCGGCCTGTGGCCTCTGCTTCCCTGGGATATGAGATATGAGGATCTGTGGTTTTTATCCTGATTCACTGACGCGGCCTCTCCGGGAAGCCAGTACTATTACCATTCTCATTTTCCAGAGGGAGAAACTGAGTCTCAGAGCAATGTCCCAGGCTGCATGGCTGCTGTAAGAATGGGAAGAATGGGGACTTTTAGCTAGGATTAGGAGACAGCCCTTCCCCGACACCTCTCCCCACCCTACCCCAACAACCCACTGGGGTGGGGTGAAGGTCCTCGGTTCTTCTGGAACAATCCCACTGCTCAGTGGAGTAGCTGAAAACCTCACAGAGGCTGGGAGTGGTCGGCTACCCCTCAACCAGGCAGTGTCTGAGCCGATCCGGAGGCGAGGGAGGAGGTCAGAGCAAGCAGGGGTGAGTAGAAAGGGTAAGGCCACCGCTGAGGCAGTGACCAGAGCATGGAGCCCAAGAAGGCAAGAGAGGCACCAACTGGAATGGGGAGTCCAGCTGGGGGCAGGCAGCAAGGCCCAGAATGGTGGACCCACAAACCGGCGGCGGCAGCGGGAGCAGGAAGAGGAAGCGAGAGAGACAAAGGCAGCTAGCTATGTACGCCCCAGGCCTGTTTAGGTACCTGGCCCCCAGGATGACACAGCCTGGGGGGCCAGCCACCAACATGATCACTCTGAACTCACGGGATCAAAGGGTCGACCCAAGTGGGGCAGCCTGCTTGGAGACAACGGATCACGCGGGGCGCGGCCCGTGTGGGCCCAGTGCCTCGGTCAACGCCACCCACTTGTCCAGCAGCCCAGGACGGAAGCCTCTAGGCCTTTCCACGCAGTACTGTCGTCAGCCAAGTCACATGGGGGGCAGGCAGCCGTGGGGCTATGGCGCCTTCCGGTGGCTTCTCCGCCTCCACCCCGCCCCTCAGGATACCGCTACCACGCTTGGAAAACAACCGAGGAAATCAAGTGGAAACACAAATCCGCCACCCGGTTCCTCCCGTTCCCCTGGGGCCAGACACCCCCCTACCCCCCACCCTCTAGCACAGGGAGGCAGAGCTTGGTTTGCTTTGGCGAGGCCCCGTGGGCACTGTGGCTCTTTCCCAGGATTCCCAGCAGCTAGGCCTATCACCCAACCGGTCCTCCTCAAAGGCACTTGGGGCACCAGGCTTGAACCCCTTCCTTCCTCAGCCCCAACCCTCTAGACTCAGGGCAATGGCCCGCCTGGCTTCTCCCCAAAGACAGATGATCACCCTGGCCAAAGCCCTTTCTTCTGTGGCTCTGTGCAAAATGGCAAGGGCTCAGCCGGTACCCTCTTGCTTTCCCAGATCCCAGATCGGAGAAGCTGACCCCATTTAGAAGACAGCAGTTGTGGATGGCAATAAGGGTCCCCGAGGCCACACATCTCTGATCAGAAGTCCCTTAATCCACAAGCCCTTCTCAGCCTTGCTTCACTGTCCCCCAGTCTGGCCACCTCACCTCTCCCAGCTTGAGCACCCCTAAATGCTTCCAAGTCCCTAACTCCGTGCACACCACTTCCCCTGCCCGGGTCTGGCTCCGGGGAGAATCCTGCTCATTCTTCAAGGCTCAGCTCCACTGTCCTCTGCCAAGCTCCAGATCCCAGAAGGGTGGCACCTGCTGCCCCTTGTGTGTGTGCACAGTGTGGATGGTGTTAGTGTGTGGCATCATTGGGTCCTTACCCCGTGTCTGACCGAGGGCAGGGCCCAGTGGAGGTGAGCAGAGGGCATGAGCAGTGGTGATGGCTGATGGTGGGTGAGAATGAGCTTGGGAGGCAAGGGCATTTTTGAATGGTCAAAGCTCAGTGTGGTGCTCTGCACACACCCCTTAGGGCTCCTTCCTCTTCCAGGTTTAATCCCAGTGTCCCCAGCCTCTCCTGGGCCCCAGCCTCCAGGGTGCAGCAAGGCTCCTTGCTCAGAGGTTGTTGAGGGTGGAAACACTCGTGGATGTTAAGTCACTTCCTGCCAGGAAACTGTGGGCCCCAGTATGACCCCTGGTGCTCTGCTGGAGTTGGCCATTTAGAAAGTGGACAGAAGCTTCCAACTTCAGACCAGAACAGAGTCCAAGAAAGAGGGGACCAGAGCCCTTGGAAGGGGTTGGTGGACATGAACAATGGCTTGAGGGAAAAACGGCGGAGGCTGATGACCAGCCATGAGGGTGATGAATTCGAAAGTTTCATGCCTGGATCATTCAAGAACAGTGAGGCCATTGATGTGCCAGGAAGTGGTGGGGCCTGGTCTAGGGGCAGGGTGGTAACACAGGTTTGAGACGTGGACATTTGGGGGCTAGAAGCAACTCTAGAAGCTACCCACGTCCTACATGAGGAAGCGGCAGCCAGATGAGGAGGAACAGCCACCTAGCCAGGAAACCTGTGAAGGGTCTGGGACCAGGGCCTGGAGTTGGCGTGAGGGCCAAGGCCGGGGACTTATCAAAGTCACAGGTGTCAGGATTGTGCTAAGCTGGTGGAACCCAGAGGAGAATGCCACTCACTCTCCACCCTCAGGAGTCTGATGTCTGTAGGGGGAGATGGGCATGGCCACAGTCCTGTCTGGATCTTAGGAGTGCCCACAGACATGGTGGGGACCCCGGGAAAGAATGGGGGAGACAGGGAGGGTAGCAAGGAGCCATATTGTCAACCCTGTCCTGAATGGGCTCTTCTGTGTCAAGGACATCCATTTAACCCTGGCAACCATCATACAAGGTCCAAACAGCATCGTTATAAAGGATGTTAGTGAGATAACTGATGACTAATAAAACTGAGGTCTGTGGATTATCCAGCAGCAATGCTGATTTTCTGATATTGGATAATTACATTGTAATTAGATAAAAAGAGCACCTTGCTTTAATGAAACATGCCAAATCATGGGGAATGAAGATTTATTTCAGCACGTGTCCTTGATGTGTAGGGTGTGTGTGCATGATGTGTTGTGTGTGTGTGCATGATGTGTAGTGTGTGTGTGCATGATGTGTAGTGTGTGTGCATGATGTGTAGTGTGTGTGTGCTTGTGCATGTCTTACAGAAGCACGGAGAAGAATGGAAAAGAAAATGATAGGAAAATATAGATAGATCAGACAAGGTCAAATGTTAACCTTTGTGGAATTTGTGTTGTGGTACATTCGAATTTTTTTACTAATTTAGTGGACTCTTCTATCAGATATATGGCTTAAAAATAAAACAAGGGCTGGAGAGACGGCTCAGTGGGAAGAGTGCTTCCTGCTTTTCCAGAGGCCCTGAGTTCAGTTTTCAGCACCCACGTGGGGCACCTCACAGCTGCCCATAACTCCAGCTCCAGGGAGTCATACACCCTCTGTGGATGCCCCTCTCCACAGACATGTAAATAAATAAAAAATAATATTTACAAAATTTAAACAAAAACAAAATCTATATGACAACAACTACACTAAATAAAACAACAATATACTTTTAAAAAATTGAAGTATTGTCCCTGATTGATAAATGAGCCTGAGAAAGATTGAGCAGACTGGAGGCCATGTTGGATCCAAGCCCTTTAGACTAGGGCTTTTCCCAGAGACAGGGAGGGGGGCAATGCCAGATATGCCAAGGCCCAGAGACACATCTCATTACAGGTAGGCTGAGGCATGGGTGGTCTGGAGTCCCTTGCCTGGGGACTGTTCAAGCCCCTCCCTCACTTCGCACTCCCTGTGACAGCTGATTGATTTGTCCCACAAATGAGCTAAGGGTAGAGTGGGAGAGGCCTTGCCTTTATCCCTGTGCAGCCCAGCCCATGCTGCCCTTAGCCCCCTTCTGTATGTGGTCCTCCAGTGGTCTCACACAGCCCTGAGCGTGGGGTGAAGTGTGCCTGAGTCACAACACACGCTCACCGAGCTAAAGCTGAGATGTAGGTCAGGGCCTCAGACAGACCAGAGATGGCTTGCCCACCCTGGCTACCATCTGCTTGTCCCCCTGGAGTAAGCGATAAACCAGGACAGAAGGAGGGCTGGGTACCCACCGACTTAGAAACTGCACCCTACAGCCCTGGAGAGGCAGCGAGCTGGAGTCAGCTCACACCAGCTCCTGAGAGCCGACTGCTCTACTCACCCCACACTTCTAAGCTGTGGTTTTCCCTTGGTAACTTGACACTGGTTGAGGGGAGATTTTAACACTGAAAATCCGAATCGACCTCTCTGTTCTCCATCACCCTCAGAGCTGGTTACTAAGCTCCTACCAGCAAATCACTGCCCAGGGCCCTTCGCCTGGCTCCCCTAGAGGCTTCTTAACTCTGTCAAGCTCATAGGTGAGTCTTGGACTCATGACATTGTTGCTGTGCTCAGAATCCCTCAGTGTGTCCCACTGGCTACTAATAGAAGCCCAAACTTACCGCTGCCCAACCCAAGGCAGGCCGCTACTGTCGTGAGTTGGTGTGGAACAGCCCCTTCATGCCTTGGTCCAAGTCACACAGAAGAGGTGACACTGAGGTGTTTAGGAGACCTGAGGGGTGCTGCCGAGGTGACACTGAGGTGCTGAAGGGGTTGGACTGAGGCTCTGGAACTAGGAGGGAGCTGGGGAACTGAATCCAAGCTCTTACCTCAGCAGAGAAGCAAGAGAAGTCTACCACTGGCCCCCTGCTACCCAGTCTCTGGAGCACAGACTGGCTTCTGATTTCAATTGTTACAAACACAGGAGCCAGCACATCCTGCCTGTGTGATATGGAAACCAGTTCCCCCACTCCCTGGTCGGTCTTCCTCAACTCCTCTACATCCTTCAAAACCCAAGCCGGATGCTACCTCCTGGAGAGTTCTTTCCCATGGTCTATCAAGTTCCCACTCTGACCCTTGCCCTCGTGGCACTAAGTAGTGCTCATCTGACTGTCCCCTCCTAGGCTGCAGCCGCCCTGAGACAGGGCTTGTGAGGCTGAGTCCTCAGCCTGGTGCGCAGCAGGCTTAGGAGCTACTTTCTGAGTGGACCTCCATTGCCGCTCTTCATCTCCGCTCTCACCCTCCCTCTCTCCCTCAGCTCCTATCTCTGTTTTGGGTTTCTCTGAACTGAAGAGGTCAAACTAGGGCTTCCTTTGATTTCAGTTGTTTTGTTTCATTTTGTTTTAAAACGAGGCTGGTTTAAACTGAGCAATCTCCTGCCTTAGCCGGCCCAGTTCTGGGATTACAAGCCTGGGCCTCCGTGCCTAGCTTTCCCTTTTCTGTGTAAATTAGACAGCAGCCTACTCCACTCCTGTCCAAGGGCCGGTGAGGATGTCTGGCACTGCTCCTCCTCTTTTTAAAACATTGTATGTATTTACTTAGTTTACTAATGTATATGAGTTCATCTATGTCTATGCATCATGTGCATACCTGGTGCCTGTGGAGGCCAGAAGAGGGCATCAAATCCCCTGGAACTGGAGTTACAGAGGGTTGAGGTGTGGGTGCTGGGAAGCGAATCCAGATCTTCTGCAAGAGCAGTAAGTGCTCTAAATCACTGAGCTAGCTCTCCAGCTTCCTGTTTGTTTGTTTGTTTTTCAAGACAGGGTTTCTCTGTGTAGTTTTGGTGCCTGTCCTGGAACTCACTCTGTAGACCAGGCTGGCCTTGAACTCGTGGATCCGGCTGTCTCTGCCTCCCAAGTGCTGAGATTAAAGGCACGCGCCACCACCATCTGGCCTCTCTTTGTCCTAATCAGTCCCTAAGCTCCAGCCCTTGGTGGGCAATGCTCCTCTCTCTGCTGCCTTTACTTCTACTTCCCAGCAGTTTTTCAGGGTACTTTCTTTTCTCAGATTGTGCTTCCTGAAGAGACACAGACTGTCCCCAAGTCCAGCCTCCCTAGCTCCCTGGTAGAAACATAACACCTTAAGTTCTCATCAGTAAGCTGGGACGGTATGGTCTGTGCTTGCAGGCTGGTGGCAGATTAGCAGAATCCCCATTCCGGTGGGCCTGTCCGTCACAATGGATGCTCCCCTGAATCCCGGGAGAGTAGAAGCGTGCTGTTCCATCCGTGCTACAGAGGAGTAGGTCTGATGTGCACAGGTGTGCGTGCATGTGTGCGTGCGTGCGTGCGTGTGTATGGGAAGGTGTGCCTCCTCCACGTTGTGCGGTCACCATCCTCTGATCCATGCACGGGCAGAGGCAGCCCCGCACTGCACATTCGCACTAACACACCTGCGCACAGGTACAGTCGCCCTGCATCTGGAATCTGCACAGCTGTCAGCATGCTGCCCACTTCTGCTGTCTGCTGGGGACCACAGGGATCTCTCAAGGGTTTTTTTTCTTTCTTTCTTCTCTTCTCCTTTAAAGAATTGCTGATTTTATAAATGAGAGAGAGAGACACACATACAAAGAGAGAGAGACAAGGAGAGCACAAAAGCAAGAGCATATGTGTGCCTTGGTACATGCATGTGTGCCTTGCTACATGTATGGAAGTCAGAGGACAACTTGGAGTCAGCTCTCTCGTTCCGCCACGGGGTGTCCTGGGAACTGAACTCAGGTTGTCAGGTTTAGCAGCAAGTGTCATCACCACTGATCCATGTCATCGGCCCCTTATAGTAATGTTTTTTTTTTTTTTAAGATATGTCTCATGTGGCCCAGGCTGGCCTCAAACTCCGTATGTAGTCGAGGATGACCTTGAACTTTTGTTGCAGGGATGAGTCACCACACCTGGTTTAGATAGCTCTGGAGACAAACCCAGGGTTGTGAGCACACGGAGCAAGCACTCACTGAGCTATACCCCCAGCCCTACTCAAGGGTCGTGAAATCAAAGGCTCCCTTCACCCAGAGCAGTGCCCCACAGCAGGAGGGAAACGAACCTGCTCTGGTTCTGCTCTCCAGCACCTGCCTGCCCTCATGTGGTCCACTTCCACATCTCTACCTTCATCTTCTCCTGTCTCTCTTGTGCCTGGGGATCAGAGAGTCCAGGCTCGGGGGAGGGCAGAGCACACACAGAGCCCGTGGCAGGATGTCACGCAGACGAGCTCCAGGGGGTGGGGGCTGCTCTGGGAGGCTCCTGGTTTATGCAGATACAATGGTTCAGAATCTGGTCTCTGACACCTCCTTCCTAAAAAGCTGATGATTCTAGGCAGCTCCAAACCGCCCTCTAGCCCAGCTGGCCTCTGGGTAACACAGTTGCAGGCAGTCGGCAGCCCCATAGAGCGGCCACTGTGATGCAGTGGGCTGACAGGTGTCTGCCCTACAGTAAGTGTTCCATAAACATTAGCAGCTGGTCTTATGAGGCTGGAGGGGGTGGCATCCAAAGTCCTTGTCTGAGGGGAGGGAGGTTCATGAAGATGAACTGAGACAGAAAGGGAGAGGGGGGTGTGTGGCTCTGTGTGGACACACTACGCACGCACACATGCTTCAGGGTGTACCAGGGAAGCAAGGGAGGACAGGTGAGGGGCCACGCCCTGCTGGAGGAGGCTAGACAGCTGTGACAGGGCCCTGTACAAGAGCAGAGGAGTCCACAGAACAGAGACGTGAACGGAGCAGGTTCTAGACAGAAGGACCGCCTGAACAAATGCCCAGTGAGTGCTGTGCATCACGGTTGGGGACAGTCACTGTGAAGCCCACAGCCTCAAGACAGTCACCACCCAGTTAGGTAGCACAGAGACAAGTGAGCTAACCTTGACCCCATTCCTCATCACTGTGCACGGGAGCTCCCAGCCCCACTCAGGATGTCATGCCTCACTTCCAGCTCTGTGCTTCTGTTTTACATTGCTTCCTCCCAAAGATGTCACTGCCTCTTAGAAGCGCTGGAACCCAATTAGTTTTTTTTCTATTACCACCAACAGACAGACCTACACTAACGGGAAACTCGGACTAGTTGAATGAATGAATGAATGAATGATCAACCACCACATTGCCTCGGTGCTGGTGAGTCACCTGATGACTGAAGCCATCGGCATGTGACCACACCGCACAACTCAGAGAACACACCAACACACACCAGCAGGCCAGCACCATCACGAAGCCTGGCCGCCACCGTCACCGTCACCACAACCACGTGGAGAGTGGCTTTCTCTCCTTGTGCCCCTCCCCACTCAGCCGCCACCCACCCACGCACACTTTCCCTCCTGCCTGGGGCAGCTGGTGGGAGGGGGCTGGGCCAAACTGGCGACTGGGGGAGGCTGGGAAAGTCCAGGCTGTCCCTCTTGGGGGGGACGGGGGCTGTGTGCTGGGATGCTTACGGGGATGGAGGGAGGGAGGGTCGACAGCCCGTACAGCTGCGGTCCCCTTCCCAGCAGCCTGCCCGGGCACAGAAAGGTCTCTTTGTTCTCTGCCTTTAAAGGGTAAGAGAAACACTTACGCATGGCAAATTAGCCCAAAAATGTATTTCTCTAAAGCGTCTGATTGTCTCCCCAGCCTGCAGCTGCAGGGAAGTCCCAGGGAGCCGGGGAGGGGCAGCTTTGGGGTGACCCTGGGGGACAGGGAGAGGAGGTGGAGAAAGAGGGGCCTTCCTGCCTCTGCTCTCAGACTTCCAGTCACAGAAGGGCACAGCTGGAGAGGGTCTTGGGGTGAGGGGAGACAACCCAGCCCTGTATTACAGAGAGGGAAACTGAGGCTGAGAGACTTGATACGAGATTACCTTCAGGTCATACGGGAGGGAGGAACATTGACCTGAGGCAGAAAAGTTCTCTAGGACTATTCTATCAGCTTTATCCTCACTTGAGGGAAGGGGTTCATGGTCCCCATGGTTAACCAAGCCTGCTGCCCCAGGCATGGAAGAAAAAGGAGCCTGGTCACTTGGCTTAGGCTTTGCCCACTCAGGGCCAGAAGGTAGACAAGGCCACACCTACCATGTCTCCTCCTGAGCCTGGAGTTTCCCTCAGACATCTGAAGGCTGGCAGGCCCAGGGGAGGTAGAAGTTGAGAAAGAGGCCCATGGTGGGAATCCTCCCTAGGGGCAGCAGGAAGGTCACCTTGATCAGGAAATGAACAAGTCAGGTAAGGGAGAAAATACCAGAATTCCACACAGCGTACTCCTGGAACCAGCTCTCTGTGAGCCCTGCCAGCATCACTAGGTTCCCAAAGGCACACAGGGCAAGGTGTGTCTCTGGGGAGCTCACAGTCCTATGAGGAAGGCAGGTTAGCAAATAGTAACAAAGGAGTCCCAACGGGAGAGGCCCCAGAGACAGACCCAAACCAAGCGCTCCAAATCCAGGGGAGCCGATATGGCAAAGGTCTTTCCCAAAAGAGGGGTCCAGGCCTTGAGACTAAGAGGAGGAGGAGGAGGGGCATACCACTGTGGCCCCCGACAGTCACTCTGGTGACATCCACCTCAGACCCTGATTCTGTGGGATCCGTAGACCACGCCTGAGTCCCTCCTGTGGAGGACAGACAAGACAGGCCGCAGCCCAGAGGTCTCATCCACCAGCTTGGGGAAGTGAGTTTTCTATGGGAGAAACTGCCCAGCTGGCGCCAACTGCCCCCAGAGAGGGCTCAGCTCTGGGAGACGACCAGATTCTGTGTGCGCGCTGGGATGGTGAGGCATCCATCAGGAATGCCTCAAGAAGTGAGCAGCAGACACTGGATGAGCCAAGCCCGCCGTTGCCGAGGCATGTGGCAGTCGCTAGGTCCAGGTGCTGTATGTACACGCAGGCAAAACACTCAAACACATAAGACAAATAAATCTAAAAAAAAATTTGAAGAGTACGTAGATGAGAAGCTGGTGAGATGGCTCAGCAGATGAAGGCTCCTGCCTCCAAGCCTGACTAATTGAGTTTGGTCTCTGAGACCCACATGGTAGAAGGAGAGACTGGACCCCTAAATTGTCCCCTGATCTACACACACACACACACACACACACACACACACACACACACACACACACACTAAATAAATACATAAGTGTAGTTTATTTTTATTTTATTTTTGCCTCAGGGTCTCTCCATGAAGTCCTGGCTGGCCTGGAACTCACTATGTAGACCAGGCTGGCCTCGAACTCAAAGAGATCTGCCTTTGCCTCCCAAATGCAAAGATTAAAGGTGTGTGCCACCACATCAGGCTTGTAAGTATCATTTTAAAAAGCTAAGGAGTACGTGTGAGTGTGCAAATGAGAATGAACGAACAGGGTGTGTATCTGAGTGTCCTGTGGTTGCATGCATGTGTGTGAGGTTATACACCTGCGCCTCCTCTGTGTGTGTGCTATGACTGTATATGGCCGCGTGCTCCTCTGTGAGTGTTCATGCCTGTGAATGTATACGCACACATGCAGGTGACTAGTGTGCACACTTGCATTTGAACATGTACATGTCAGTGGATTTGGGGTATGTGTTTGTGGTGTGTGCTTATGTGCATATGTGTTTCTGTGCCTCAGTACTACAATTAGATGCATGCACAGTGTTGAGTTTCTGGATGGGCGTGGCCAGGAAAATGTATGTGGACTATGCATGCTGTAAGCACACAGTGAGTGTGATGTGAGTAGGCACACGGGTGACCATGGAGGGACCCTCTTGGGAAAGCTTCTGAGCAAGGAAACCCAGCTGAGCCTCCAGTCAAGGATAAGGAGGAGCAAGCTACCTGGGCAATGTCCTCTTGGGTGGCTACAAGGACCATGAAGAACTCCAGGAGACTGACCTGCTATGGGGAAAACCCTCACTCAATATGTTGTTCCCTGGCTAAGGGGGACATCAGCAGCTGAGCCGAATCCTGAGTGGAGCACGGCCCCCTCTTCTACAGTCTAGATTCTTGCCTCCAGCAGAAGCCAGAGCTATTACACCGGATTGATGGACCCCCTCACAGTCACACCCTGCTAGGTGCCTCGACTCCTCAGCCAGACTCTAAAATACCACTGCTCACCTCTCTCACACTTGGCCTGCTTGGGAATCCTCAGTTAGCCACCAAGTGCCTAACTTCACTGGTCCCTTCCCTCTCCTCCCTAGGTTTCCCGAAGTGTTGTTCTCACAGGCAGAGTCTTCGGGTGTGGAAACTTATCAATGATCCCTCTACAAAAGAGCACAGAATCCAAAAGCAGAGATTCCTATGCATGCCAGGCTGCCCCTATTCCTAGCAGCCTGACTCACACAGCCAAATGATGGCTCAACCCAGGGCCCATAGACAGCACATGGGTAAACAGATTGTTGTCAGTGCCATGATGGACTTTGTATTATTCACCATAAAAGGGAGGCAGAGAGGCAGGGCGATGGGTCAGCAGGTGAGATCACCTGCTATTCATTCCTAACGACCTAAATTCCATCCCTGGGACCCAGAGAAAGGAGGCAAGAGAGGACCAGTTTCACAGATTTGTCTGCCAACCTCCACATGAGCACCATGGCAGTCATGTCCACATACACACATCATGCACGTGGTATGACACAGATGACCCTTGAAGACATGCGCTAAGCGAAAGAAGCCAGAGACAAAAAGACTAGGCTTAAATAATGGACCTGAGAGGGCAAGGTGAGAGGCAGAAAGGAGAGGGGTGGTTACCAGGGAGGGGAGGGGAACTTGGAGAGTTAGTGCCTAAGAGCCACAAAAAGTTTTTCAATTTAGAAAGATAAGAGAGCACGTAAGTTTCATCCCAGCACTTGGAGGCAGAGGCAGGTGGATCTCTGTGAGTTCGAAGCCAGCCTGGTCTACAGAGAGAGTTTGAGGACAGCCAGGGCTACACAGAAGAAACCCTGTCTCAAAGAACAAAAAAAAAAAAAAAAGAAAGAAAGAAAGAAAGAAAGAAGAAAGGTGAGAGAGTTGTGGAAATGGAGGTGGTAACAGTTGCACAGTGTGAATGCAATTAATGCCACTGACCTGCACACCCCAAAATGGTTGAAAGGGTTAACTGTATAGTATGTATACTTTCTTTTTTTTTTTTTTTTGGTTTTTCGAGACAGGGTTTCTCTGTGTACCTTTGCGCCTTTCCTGGAACTCGCTTTGGAGACCAGGCTGGCCTCGAACTCACAGAGATCTGCCTGGCTCTGCCTCCCGTGTTCTGGGATTAAAGGCGTGCGCCACCACCGCCCGGCGTGTATGTATACTTTCTAAACACATACAGTAGCAAGCTTGCATGGAGAGACACTAAGCTGAGACGGTTTTATAAGAAAGTCATTTTCATGGTTTGGTTTTGTTTGAGACAGGGTCCCATGTGGTCCTTAGCTGGCTTTGAAGTCATATGTAGCAGAGGATGACCTTAAATTTCGGATCGTCCAGCCTCCCCCTCCTGAGTGCTGTGATTACAGGTCATGCCATCACACCCGCTTGGTGTCGTGCAGGGGACCAAGTGCAGGGCCTCCTGCACTCTAGGCAAGCGCTCTGTCAACAGAGCTAGAACACCGTGCAGTTCTACAGATTTTAGGAAAGCACTCTTGCTTTGTAACGTGTGTGACTGAAGGTGAATGAACAACTTTGACAGATGTCACATCCCAGTAGCCCATTGTCCCACGCCCAGCACAGGCGCAGGTAGAGTGGGGGCACGGTGACATGTGTCAATGGCAGGGTCCCCTGCCAGACAGTTTCTTTCCCTCTTGCCACCCCCATGACAGCCCAGAATCTTCAGAAAAGACCAGGGCCCTCCCCCAAGGGGGACATCAAATGGCCCAGTGGAGTTCAGAGAGCCTCTGCTCTTCTCTCCATTTTCTGTGACTATCTTAAGGTTTCTACTCTGAAAACGTGTAATACAGAACTCTCACTTAAACAGAGAAAGGGGGGTGGAGAGATGGCTCAGAGGTTAAGAGCGCCGACTGCTCTTCCAGAGGTCCTGAGTTCAATTCCCAGCACCCACATGGTGGCTCACAACCATCTGCAATGAGATCTGGCGCCCTCTTCTGTATACGTAACAAATAAATAAATCTTTAAATAGAGAAAGGGCTCTGGCTTGGGATGCAAGTAGACCCTAAGAGAGGCTCTGTGAGATGCTCTCTGTCCAACCCTCAGGACTCACATCAACTGTAGCGATGGCTTCAGTAACCAAATTGGCTCCTGGGGGTTGGAGCATGACTCAATGGTAGGGATTGCTCTTAGCATGTGTGGGTTCAACCCTTGGGCACCATAGCTAAACAAAAAGCTGGCGTCTGATTTTTTAAAATTGGTTGGTTATTTATGGGTGCAGGTGTTTGACCTGCATGTGTATCCATGTGCTACATGTATGCCTGGTGCCCACGGAGGCTGTAAGAGGATGTTGGGTCCCCTGGAAGTAGATTTACAGGTGGCTATGAGATGTCATATGGGATGCCATCTCTGCAGTCCTGTGGCATCTGATTCTCACTCTCCAAGCTCAGGAGCTAAATAGCTTCTGTGAGTGAGGACTCTGCAATCTGGAGTCTTTGTGCTCCACATTCTTTTTTTTTTTTTTTTTTTCAAGACAGGGTTTCTCTGTGTAGTTTTGGTGCCTGTCCTGGATCTTGCTCTGTAGACTAGGCTGGCCTCAAACTCACAGAGATCCACCTGGCTCTGCCTCCCGAGTGCTGGGATCAAAGGCATGCGCCACCACCCCGCCCTGCCTCGCTCCACATTCTTACCAAGATGGTGGTACAGTTGGGCAAATCCAAGACAGTATCTCAGGCCATTGCAGGACAGACATCTGTGGTCCCATTTAACAGGCAGGGGCCGTGTGAGACTTTCATCCTCACAGGCCTCTTAAAGATGAACCTGGTACAAAGAGGCCCATTAGCTCCTCCCTGGTACCAGGGCTAGAAGGCACCAGAACCAGGGCTCAGCCCTACTGGATCTAACCTCAAACTGTGCTGTTTGCCACTGGTTGCTCCCTGCAGGGCCTTTTATTCATCCTTGAGGAAACGCTCCTCAGAACCACCACACCAAACATCAGCAAATCCGGGCACCAGCCCCAGCCAGGCTAATACCTGCCTGGTCTATCCTTCTACACCTAAACCTCAAAGTCAGTAATGCCATGAAATCTTCCTTGGTCCTTTCCCCAGCTGGGCAACCTGTGAGCCCAGGCCTTTTCCTGTTAGTGGCTCCTCCAGCAGCAGAAAGGCCCCTGTGGGACTCCCCTCTGTGGATCGGATGCTCAGCAGAGACTGAGTAGACAGTAGACAGCCAGTAGGTGATGCTGGGCGTGAGGGGCATGGGAGGTCCCTCAGGTCCCTTTGGGCCCTGACGTTGTATCTATGATGACCCTCATCACAGAAGCCAAAGGTCTGGGAGATGGGCAGGGAGAGAAAAAGAGAAAGACATCAGTGACCAGAGGGGGTATCCTCACCTGCTTAGCCCCTGAATAGAGGAGGCAGGAAAGAACCAGAAAAGCCTGACAGTGGCTGCAGGTGAGTCTGAGTGAGGGGAGGGCAGGAAGCCATCCATCTCATTCCACAGACTTTTCTTTGTTTAGTTTTTGTTGTTGTTGTTGTTGTTTTTTTTTTTTTTTTTTTTTTTTCGAGACAGGGTTTCTCTGTGTAGCTTTGCGCCTTTCCTGGAACTCGCTTTGGAGACCAGGCTGGCCTCGAACTCACAGAGATCCGCCTGGCTCTGCCTCCCAAGTGCTGGGATTAAAGGCGTGCGCCACCACCGCCCGGCTTGTTTAGTTTTTTTAAAGACAGGATCTCATATAGCTCAGGCTGGCCTCAAACTCCCTAGGTAGTAAAAAAAAAAAATGACCTTGATTCAATCCAATCCAGGGTTTCCTGTATGCATATGCTACCACAGTCCCCATGGCTTCTTAGAAAGCATCTGAAGATGTGGGTTTGGGGTGGGGCCCACCACTCTCCATGTCCTCACTTTGGACCTGTCTCTGCTTGCCTTGGTCATGTGCCTGTAACCAGAGTTTGCTTAGGTAGGATAGGAGAAAAGGTATGTGGCACATAAGACTGAGACTGACCTCTGACCTGATAGTCATCCTGCCCAGTCACCTCTAAGCTGGTCCTTGCTAGACCTTGGAGCTGTTCCTGATCTTGGAACATCTCCAGTCACCAGCCAATTACCACAGGCTCTCAGCTGACAGGTTGTGCAAGGTTCGGACTCCAGTCATGTGGGATGGCTGGGACCCTTGTGGGATGCAGACCCTGCGTGCTGAAGAAACAGTACCCACAGCTCAGGATGACTCTACTCAGGTAGGGAAGGCATCAGCATGCCTCCATGCTGACCTACCCACATCACACATATGCCCCCAACATTAGTTCAGCCACCATTACCCCAGACTTAGGAGCAGCCCCACGGGGACATCTTCCTAACTAGCAACCTCCTACCAGCATCTCTCCACGCAGTCAGGGGCTCCTGAACCTCTCTTCTTTTCCTGGTCCAACCTCCTCTACTCCACCCTCCCCAATCTCTCTGCATTTGCCATGTTTCCCAACCCCCAAGCATCTCTTCACAGACACAGCCCCAGACAGGGTCCTGACCCACATCACAGCTGAGCCCTGGCCCCAGGCCAGCCACAGACAGAGCCACAGACACTGGCTATAGATTGTGCATCAAAGCTGGGTGATTGCCAGAGGCCTTTCCCCAGCCTGACCCTGGCCCTGACCCCAGCCTGTAGCCTGACCTTAAACCCAAAGTGAACACTTACCAGCCTTGATCTTGGAGACAGACATGAGCCCTAATCCTGAATCTAAAATGAGCACTTTCCCTGGTCATGGACTAAGCCTCAAGCCTAGCTTGAACCATTATCCTAACTCTAGAATGAATACCCACCCTGTCTCTGACACAGTCTACCTACTGAGCCTTTTTCCATACCCTGCACTACCCTGGTCCTTGGCCTGGACAGGACCCTTATCCTGAGTCTGGATCTTGAGTAAACCCTTACTTTCTCCTACAGTGAATTTGTCCCCCAGCTACAGACTGAGCCCTGACCCTGACTGTACCCCAGGCCATGATCCTAACCCCTGACTAAGCCCTGATCCTAGCTACAATCTAAGCCATGATCCTTACCTCTGACTGACTAAGCCTCAATCCTCATGCTAGACTGAGCCCTGATCTTAGCCTGAGCTCTGAGTCTTCATCCTGCCTATATACGGCCTTTACCCTAACCCTCCTCAGGTAAAAAAATACAAAATAAAATAAAATAAAAAAACTGGCCGGGTGGTGGTGGTGCATGCCTTTAATCCCAGCACTTGGGAGGCAGAGGCAGGCGGATCTTTGTGAGTTCGAGGCCAGTCTGATCTCCAAAGCGAGATCCAGGAAAGGCACAAAGCTACACAGAGAAACCCTGTCTCGAAAAAAAACAAAAACCAACCAAACAAACAAACAAAACAAAAGCTGGGTTCCTGTGAAGGCTCTCCTCAAGTACTCCCAGGACAGCAAGCTCCTAGCCAAGGAGGATCTCGGGGGATCTTGAACTTTCCACAGATCCACATGTGACCTGGTAAGGACAGCGGGGACCACTGTCAGCATTTTACAGGTGAAGAGTCAGAATCTCAGAGAGCCTTGACTTGTTCTGTGTGGTTCCTGAGGCAGAGGCAGAAAAGAACTTCCCCAGAGTCTGGGCTGGCCAAAGACAGAGTGTTCACTCTGTGTCATAGAGATGGGCCGGCACAGGCAGGTGACTTCCGAACTGGTGTTACAGAGAAGGCCACACACAATGTGGCAGGGAGAAGCCCATAGCCTCAGAGCCCCCTCCATCTCGCAGAGGTCCAGGGGCTTCATGGCTCCTTCAGATATCTTGAATTCACACATCTAGATAAGCCCAGGCTGGAGCCTGACACCTGAGGAGAGAAACAGACTCAGGAGCCATCTAGTAGCCTGTGGCTGAGTGGGGTGGGCCCATGGCTCCACCTCTCATGCTCAGGTTCCTCTCTTTCCCCTCCCCTCACATTGGTCAGAGGCCCAGATGGGAGATGAGGCCCTCAGAGCCAAGCTGGCATTTGGTATTGCCATTCTGGGGGCAGTTTGGGGCTCTGTCCCAGCATGTTTCCTCCTCTGCCCGAGCTCAGGAGGACAGCCCTAGGACTAGGGAGAACCCCCTTCTATTTCCAGAAGGTCAGGCAGCCTTTCAGCCCCGGCACTGCCCATTTCACAGACCTCAGACACGGAAGTGAGAGGCCAAGCCAGCTGCCCAGGCAGCCCAGGCAGACAGGGCCACATCGGAGGAATGCAGACCCCAACCCTGGCACTAGCCCCGCTCCAGCTGCCTGAGGAGGACCGGCGGATGGTGGGGGAACCTGGTGCCAGGCAGCAGAGGCTAGGGTGGGGGAGACTGGCTGACCCCTCATGCCACCGCCCCCTCCCAGGCACCCCTGCCTGGCTCCATGCAGCCCTGCTGCCCAGCTGCCAGCACATCCGCCCAGGCCCAGATATCAATCCACACCCGGGCCCTTGCTCTTTCTTTGCCGTTCTCTTCCCTCCTCAGCTCCTCTCTCTCTCTCTCTCTCTCTCTCTCTCTCTCTCTCTCTCTCTCTCTCTCTCTCTCTCTCTCTCTCTCAACATGTCATTACAGTAGAAACAAAAAGCGCGGGGACAATGCGGGCATTGACAGCGCCCCCTCCCGCCCCTCCCCCCTCAGTGCGTGCCAGCACTCTTTCCACCCGCCCAGGGCTGGAACCACTGCCAAAGGAGCCCTGCTCATAAACAAGAGGAACCAGATAAACCAGGAACACAATAGAGGGATTTGTTGCACTCAGAATGGTGGGAACAATGTCAACGTCGCGCGCAGCTGCTTCTAAGTCCCCACCCCACCAAGTTCTGCCAAGCAGCCCCTCGCCCCCAGCCCCTCTGATTTATGAAAGGTCAGAGGGCATCATGGCTAAAGGGCCCCTTCCTTGCATTCCTCGTTAACCCTTCGGAGACAATGGTCCCTTCTCTAAGAGGTGGCGCCTGGGGGCGGGTGTCATGCACAGCACTTCCTGGAGCATCCTGGGGCCGGCTGGTGGCAGAGTATAATACAGGGAGGCGTGGGCTCCTGGATGCCTTTGGGCCAGGCTTCATCCTTTCCCAAGTGACAGTCTCATCGGAGGAGTGCTTCCAATGACCCCACATTGGGTTGACAAGATGGCTCCTGACACTGCCGTCCCACTGTGCATTTGGGGCGACAGTGGTTGCTAACGGCCAGTGTGCACTGAGTCCCTTGCTAGGTGAAGGGGGTGTGAGGAGGAGCGAGATAGAGTCTCTAATCTGGGAGGAGACAGATTATGTAAGTAGAAGAAGCCCCGGGAAGTGGGCCTGGCACTTCTGCCACTGGACAGAGAGGGTGGCAGGGCAGAATTTCAGGGCAGGTGATGCCTGAACAGAGGTGGCCGGGGTAAGAACACAGCAGTTCCCAGCGCCTCCCTACGCTGCCGCTCCTTAGGGGTTAGTGAGACAGGGGTCCTCGTAGTCACCTCACAGGGCTCTTAGGAACACTGCAGGAGTGGCCACAAACAAGGCATGGGATGATGGTCAGCCTGTCATGGCTACTGCTGTGGAGTCTCACGGCCACCCTATCTTCCTCAAGATCCCCACAGACAGACACCTGAGCTGAGACTCCCCTAACAGTGACCTGATGGCAACCTAGACCTTATGTCAGCTGGGAGCCCTCTCCCACTCAACTGCTTTGAGAGGGGTCCTCAAACAAAGAAGAGGAATGCTGAGGGCCAAGCAGACTTGAGACTTTCTGAAAATATCCATAGTTTAGCCCCTTCGTATTTAAGCTCATAGAAGGAAGTCTCAGGAAGGCCAGTCTCTTTCTACCTCTGCTGAGAAGGGGCCCCCAACGACACCATGAGCACCCACCCCTGAGAAGGGACCCCCTGACGACACCATGACCACCCCTGAAAAGGGGCCCCCTGACGACACCATGAGCACCCCTGAGAAGGGACCCCCTGACGACACCATGAGCACCCCTGAGAAGGGACCCCCTGACGACACCATGAGCACCCCTGAAAAGGGGCCCCTGACGACACCATGAGCACCCCTGAGAAGGGGCCCCTGACGACACCATGAGCACCCCTGAGAAGGGACCCCTGACGACACCATGAGCACCCCTGAGAAGGGGCCCCTGACGACACCACCCCTCCGTCTCCCATGCAGCAACCCTCCCCCTCACGGCCATCACTAAACCCCAGTCCTTTAAGGATTCTGTGACCTCTGCTTTCACGGTGCAGGCACATGGGCGTCTGCTCTCACTTCCATTCAGCACTAACAGAGAAGCCAGTACATAAGGCAAGAACACAAAATAAAAGGCAGCAAAGTGGAAGAGGGAAAATGATGCTCTTCAGACAGTTACATGGAAAATCCTAAACAAATGACTAACAAAAATTATAATTAATAGTCAGTTTAGCGCTAAGCAGTAGTGGTGCACACCTTTAATCCCAGCACTCAGAAGGCAGAGGCAGATGGATCTCTGTGAGTTCGAGGCCAACCTGGTCTATATAGTGAGTTCCAGGACAGCCAGAGCTACACAGAAAATCTGTCTAAAAGGAAAATAAA